CCATTACCCACCCCCACGCAACAGAGGTAAATGGTCTTCCCTACCCATCTTTTTTCCTTTAAAATACAATAATATATCTGAACTGTTTCTGAAAATAGAAAGTAAATTACAATAACTGAATGTTAACAGCTTCATGATAACTATAATATGTAGGTACAATAGTAATTTTAACACGTTTTAAATTAATACCTGAACTCATATAAACATGATCTAATATTGTATTGCCTTCTGTAGTACTCTCTGTCACTAACTGTTTAAACCTGAATTCTTGAAAACAATCCTTAATAGAACTATGTCCTTCTAATAGATTTTGATTGAAATCTCCCATAATAATATAATGATAACCAGACTCTTGTAACTCAGTCAACAATCGTTCTAATTGAGGCATGAACAATTCTAATCTATATTTTGGTGGTCTATAAATAACAATTACAGAAATATTTTTATCTGGAATATTACAGGCAACATGTTCTATATTTAATTGTCCTAACCTTATTATATTACAAGCTTTATTGTTACTATAATATATTCCTACACCACCATGGTCTTTTTCTTTAAGATTTTTAAAATTAGCACTATCATCATAGCTATTGTGACGAGGTTGATTATAAAATATAAAATTATCCAATCGTACTTTAGCAGGGTTCCTTACATTTTTTAACCAGGTTTCTGTCAAACATATCATATCAGAATTTATAAATCTTTTGTCATGTTTTAAATCTTCTAAATGTGTAGTAAGTCCTTGAACATTAAATAAAATAATATTAAAACTATTATGTTTACGTTGTTCTTCAGGTTGTAAAAATCTTGGCATTTCATTTAAAGCAGATTCAATCTTTTCATCACAAAATATAGCTTTCTCATTAAAATTTTGTATTGTCAATCCTTCTAATGTTTTAACTCGACTTAATGCAACATATGCTTGCCCTGTTTGAAAAATTCTATCTAAAGAAACGACACCTCTATCTAAACTCAAACCTTGTACTTTATGAATAGTTACTGCATAAGCTAGTCGTAATGGAAATTGACGACGAACATCACCTTTAAAATTTATATGTGTACTTTCATGTCTTTCTATAGGTATACTACCTGGTTCAACATTAGGTGGAAGACGATATGTCTGCTTACTCAAACCAACTTTAGCATTGTTAAATTTAACATATATCTTTCTAGGTTTATCATTCTGATCATTTTCAATAAATGTCACAGTACCAAAACTTCCATTAATCAAACCAGCTGAAACATCTAAATTAACAACTAACATTACATTTGATCCAATACCAACTGTTAAATTATCTACAAGTGGTGTATCAGTTGCTTTAACACAAGAATCTTTTAATATCATTCTACCTGATCTAGCATCTTTACTATAGTCTAAAGCCTGAATAGAAATAGAATTGGGACATTTTTCAGTGATCATTCTTGTATTGTAATTATCTACTTGTTGATTTGTAGAAAAAATATGTAAAGAATCATCTTCTACATTAGTCACTCTACTTTGTAACATTTCAATATCTGAAGCCAACATTTCTTCATTTTTCTTTCTTTTTCTAATTCTATTTAAAAGTTGAGCAAAAGCTAAATCATCTTTCTGTCTCATGATTTCTGTCAACTCAATTAGTTTAAAATTTCCATTCCAAATATCTATTACACTATCATGACATAAACTACAAGCTTTAACTGGTTTTAATTGCCACATGTCACCAAAACAAATTACACAGATATTACCAAATAACTCATTATTACTAGTACCTTTAATTTGACATAATCTACCATGAATATAACACAGTAACTTGTGGTCTACCATAGAAATTTCATCTATAATCAGAATTTGTAAATTACGATATTTACACCTCAAAGTATTAACAGTTTCTTGTCCTAATGGTTGATATGGTAATGTAAACTTAGTTCTTATTGACAAACTAGAATGTATAGTACTTGCACCAATTGCAAAAGCCGAAACACCTGTCGGCCCTGTTAATAAGACAGAACAATCATCTAAGTTTTCTGCAGTTTTTGCTAAAATTCTAGAAGCCTCATAATTTATACATTTTATTACATGACTCTTCCCACTTCCAGCGGAACCTGTTATGAACAATCTTAATGGATCAGGATTTTTACCATTTATTTTATCTAAACAATATTGTCGAACTTTATAAAATACTCTGGACTGAATGTCATTTAATGACCTTAATAATGGAATAGCATCACCTTTAGAAATTCCACTGATATTATTTTCAGATCTGATTCTATCACTGTTACCTTTATCAGAAATAATGTCTGGGATTTGTGGCTCTGAATTATCGTCTTGTTCAGTATCATTCTCATTTCGAAATCTTTCAGTTTCTATTCTTTCTACTTCAGTTTCAGGTGCTATACTAGCCCAGGCATCTTGAAAATCACCACAGTTTTCTACAACTTCTGCAATCGATTCAATATCTATATCAGTTTCAAATAGTTCACGATTCTGTTCAACAATTTCTTTTACAGACACAATTTGTCCACAGATTTTTACATGTCCTGATTTATAAAATTCTTCATGTGTTTCGAATTGAGGTGGTTTTAACTGTGTGTCAACACGATAAGGTAAAAATAATTGAAGACTACTGAGGTAATAATTTTCAGGATCTTTTGTCACAGAAAATCTAGCATAACGAACTATAGCAGGTGGAGATCTCGTACGTTTTATAATGAAACCTAAATCATTTTGTAATTCAAAAGCAGGATTTTTCTCTGAACTGATATTAGGATTTTCAGATTTAGACATTAATCTATACTCTGAGCAGAAGGTAGCAATACACATATCATCAAATGGTTTGCCTTTAGGTCTAGCTAAATAACGATCAATTGTGGAAGTCATAAATAAATTATAATCTGACAATGTACCATCTTTTGCTCTACTTTGTAAAACTTTCAGTGGGAGAGTTACTCTTATATTATCCTTACCAGTTGGTATAAACTGAACTTTTCTAGAACATTGTTTTAAAGGTAAACCTAAAACTCTTACAGCACTTTCTGGACCAGAAACTTCTCTAGAATGTAAATAAGTAGTTGATATTTTACGCATACAAGCTTTTGCATCCAAATTATTCTGTTTAGCTTCTTTAAATGTTTCACGTAATAACAAACCCATTTCTCTTTCAGCTTTAGTAATATATGAAACAATATAAATAATACATGCATAAGCATTAGTTACATATTGTATGTCTAAGTTTGCATTCCAGGCTCTTAACATATGAGGATTATACTGATTGATCCAGCTTGCATTTACACCTCTTTTTAATACTATATATGTCTTTTTAGTTAGTTTCTCACAGGCTTGTTCAAACAATTCTTGACTTATACCTAATTCATCATATAAACTAGACAATGACTGATAGTTTTTATCTTCAGACGACAATTCTTTCCACATAGATTCTAAAATAGATCGAGCTTGATCTGTAGTTAAAGTATTTTTATTGTCTACATTTATTTCATTACTTTCAGTATCATCTTGCTCAGTAGAATTCTCAGTTCTAATGT